AGATTCCCGGATCACAACAGCCACCCCTCCTCCCCTGCCCTGGCATCTTGGCTGGTGCCACACCGTGAACCCAGCTGGGCACATTTCCAAGAGGGGCACTCCTCCCTCAGGCCCCGGCCAGGTCTTGGTAATGCATGCCAGGTCTGCCCCCTCCTCGGTGAACAAGTCACATATGAGGGGGGCCTTGTTGTTAACTGACTTGACGTTAATTTCATGGAAGATTGTTGAAAACTCATGAGGTTGGAGTTCCTGTGAATTTTGCAATTAAAAAAATTTTTTTTATTTAATTTTGCAGTTCTACAGATGCCATCTAAAGCTACTGCAGAAATTCTGGCACCTGTGACTCCATTATTATAATGATTTGCATATAGCATTATTTAGACACTACAGTAGTCCTCATTTAATGGCCATTTGTTCAGCGACCGTTTGAAGTTACAATGGTGGTGAACAAATGGTAGTTATGACTGGTCCTTGAAGTTATGGCCATTGCAGCACCCCCACAGACACGTGATCAAAATTCAAGTGTTTGGCAGCTCAGCCACATTTACAACTGCAGTGTGCAGTTCAACTCCCTCCACCCACCTATCTCCCCCGCCATTTCTGCCCTTTTGGCCGCCCTGCAGTTCACCACCTCCTGCCACCTCCAGCTGACCTTCACTGTCTTCTTCTTCCCGCTGCTGACAAGACCCACCCAGCTGAGACAGCTGCTGGCCCTTTGCGACGCCTTGTGACACCTTGCAACACCTTCTCAGCAATGGGAGAAAGAAGACGGTGAAGGTCAGCTGGTGGCACAGGAACAGTGGAGTGCAGGGTAGCAGGGGCAGCGGAGTGCAGGCAGCCAAAAAGTCAGAGATGGGGGGAGATAGGCCGGTGGGGGGAGTTGAAGCAGCAGAAGGGAGCTTGCCAGACCCAGTGGGGGAGGAGGCAGTGGGACAGAGCCGGCAGGTCTGTAGGGCAGGAGAAGTATTAGGTCCTTGCCAGCAATGGCGCAGTCCTCGCCTAACGACTGCAACCGAGACTACCGGAACTGCTGATGCTAAGTCCCAGTTAGGGTAGTTAAGCAAGGACTACCTGTATATTTCAAATTCTCAGTTTAAGCGTAAAATGTCATTTCTCCTTAATGTATTAAGTACATAGACTTTAGGTGAATCACATACGGCTACACTGTTCCTACAGTTCAAGGATACAAATAGTTACAGGCAGGTGTTCTCACAGTATCTCCAACACTTAATTATCTTTTTTATCTTATAATGCAGAATTAAAAATATTCTTATTCATTACTGTCTTTATATTTTCTTCCTTTTCCCCCCACAATTTTGAGAACTTAATTTCTATGTTTTAAAGAGAGAAATATTAATGATAAAGAGGTCATTTATAATGTATTAGCTTTCACTGAATCATGCTAAACGGATGAAACACTGCTTATCAAAATCTCTTCCATCATGGTTGTTCCTGTCCCAGCCAGTAAATTTATGGCTGTTGTTCACACAATTACAAACAGACAGGATTTGTGATCACAGATCTGAGTTTGGTTCTATTGTAGCCACTTAATATACTGTAAATAAATAAAAGTTATTACCATTTGAGCTCTTAGTTGCCTTCGCAATTCTGGTCTTTTTCCCCAATACATCATTTACGCTTTGGAGTTTTTTTGGATTTTCTATATTATCTGAAACAGTGGTAAGATGGCTTGTGCCTGAATCCAGAGTATCTGAGTTCTGAACATAAACAAATAAATATTAAGAAATTAATATTACTACTCAAAGACTGGAGGAATCTTTGATTGCCTGTTGGTGGTATGTGGGTGCATGCTTCATCATCTTGTTCCCTTGTTTTTTTCGCAATGATTTGTAGAAATTTCCTAACATTTAATGCATAGTTTCTCTTGTAAATGAATATACCTTTATATTTCATGCAATGTTAGCACGCCCATGGAGCTCAGGGCACACAAAGCGCATATATAAATAAATGTGGCAAACCATTATAAGCATGGTTTGTCGTGAACATATCTGCATACATCCACCAGCTCCTTTCTCAAATGGCTCAGCTTTACCATGTCCTCTGCAAGCAGTTCTAGGCGTAAGTAATAGATGCTATCCCCATAACGAATCTACAGTAAACGACAGGGATGCTCTCTGGTTAGAGGAATCCAAAAGTACCCTGTAGAGGAGAAAACAGTGGGCAGCTGCCTTCTAACTTTCTAACATTAGGGGAAGAAGCCAACAAATAAGAGCAAGCTTGCTTAAGACCGAAACCCTCCTTACATAACACATATCTTGATGTATGCTCTTCCTTCATCTCCTTATTTCCAATGCTGTATTTAATTCTGAACGAAAAAGCCAAATAATCATAATGCTTGTAACATTAATATCTTAAACTATAACTAATATTGATAGAATATCCACTTTTTCTTTCCTCTTCTCTATTTTCAATACTCTAAGGTATTTAAATAGTAGAATGTTAAGAATTTAAGAGTATTATATAAATATCATTGTATTGAAATAACATATTGTATCAAAATTTATACTAAGACAATAAAAAGGAAAAAAAAAGAATAAGGCAGGCTTACATGTGGTTGTACTGTCCAAATATACCTATTATAACTCAGAAAATACTTGGATTGGTTGTAAAGTTTCTACAGCATGTTTTGCTATACTTAAACTTTAAATGAACATAAACAAAACATATAAAACAAAGCAAGTTTATAACATCATAAGTTATTTCAAACTTGACAGAAAACAAGGGCAAATGATTGTTTAAGTTGTTCAATTTCAGGAGCAAAATTATGATTTCATATATCAGTTGATTTCAATGGACTTACTTTTATTTTTTCTAAATGTTTTTTTTCAGCAAGGGCCTGTTGTCTAGAAGACCGTCTTAAAGATATATGGAATCCTTCTTCCATGGTCCTTGATATTCTGTTATGCTGTACAGCCTTTGCTTTTTCAACCAATTTCTTTGCTTTGAATATATTTCTAGAAATCGAATTCATCTACCACAAAATTAAAAGTAATCATTAATACCTACAAGAATACATGTACTCTTCCCAAAGCAGGTTAAGTGTTTTTTTCTTCCCATAAGATACATTTGAATATAACTGTATTTAATGCCACGTATCAAGTACACCCTTGATAGTTATGGTGTAAAATAGGAAAATAATTACACAGTTATAGCAACTACATTACACACACTTATTTCCAAAGCATTCTACTTAAGTTGCCAGAATAACATGCCATGGGACTTTTCAGACAATACTCATTTGCAAAACCTTTAAGCGCAGCAAGATCAGTAAGTGTCAGGTTCAGCCCAAAGAACTCTATGAGACAGTAGAGGTCTAGTTCAATAGCTTTTATTAGCTTCCAACCACAAGACAGAATCCTGCCAGACTGAATCTAAACTTCTCAAGCCAGCAAGCAAACACTGCAAATTCCTTACGGTGGTGCCA